CTGTATAACACCCTGCTGTAGTAGAATGTCCTTACCTGTTATGTTAACACTAAAAGAACAGCTGGCTTTATTTCCATCAGTATCGACAGCAGAACAAGTGACATCAGTTTCACCAACATTAAATGATGAACCAGAAGATGGACTACAAGTAGCTGACAGACCACTATCAACATTGTCACGGACTATTGGGTCACTCCAGGTCACTGTAGCTAATTGGTTTATATCATCAGGACATATCACAGTGGGTTGGCCCAAAGAACCTGTAATTATAGAGGTTTTTATATTAATACGTACAATAGTTTGTTGATCATAACCTGCACTTTTTGTAATTCTGCATCTCACAGGTTATGGCATGCATCACATTTCATGTATTACATGTCATATTATTCCCATGGCAAATACTGTATATCACATGTAATATGTAATGTAATGTAACTGGATATATAGCGCTTTATACAGAAGTATCAAAGCACTCGAGGTGTGGACTAGCTCCCACAGCATCACATGTCATGAGTGTTTGTCATATGTCCATCACATTCACAACATGTCATACATATCACATTATGAAATATGCATTACGGTACACATACATCACAATATGCATCACACAATGATGAATTAAATGGAAAATGTGTTGTGTAACTGTAGCACTTTTTCCTAGCTTAGCCCTCACTAATTCCCCACTGAAAATAAAACCAAATTCTTAAACAGTCACACCAGCCTGTCTACTTGAAGGTGCGCTGCTCTGGGGAGGATGCAGGATTTGGTTGTATGGGGTGCATACAAAAAATGAGGAAAAGCACCTCAAAACTGCCGGAAATGACATTTTATATAGTGAAATTCATCATTATCACATCACCATTATATAGTAGTCAAAATGAAATGCAAATTCTCATGATCTTTTATCAGCGATTTTCGGTAACCACAGAGATCATATAATTAGTATGTGTGATGTACCATACAAAATAAAAGCTGTGAGTCACAACCACCTCAGATGCACCAATGGTTAGGGCTAAGGTGAGAAAATTTGAGGAAATAGTACCTTTAGATGGCCTGAAATGACACCTTTATATAGTAAAATTCATCATCACATCATCAATATAGTCTAGATGAAAGCGACAGAACATTTCTCATTAAGGCTTTAGCATAATGCGCTATATAAGCTAAAATTATTATTATTTTAAATCAGGGATGTTCTAATTCAACGTTCTATGGTCTGTGGCCCAAATTTGGGCCTCGTAACATTTTTGGAGGGCCGCAAAGCCTTCTGGAAAACAAAAACAACATGCTATTTGAGTTGTAAGTGCTTTTTGTGTATATGCGCCCCTCGGAAGCTAGACACTATGTTATCGTCTAGTATTAACCCTTTAAGATCGAATAAATCCGGTATGGAGGAATAATGTGATGAATCATGAGCTAAAGATAAAAGTAAATATAAGACCTGTAAAGAGAAAGAACACTACAGTAAACAACACCACACATTTCTTGATAACCGAATGCCCATGTGGATACTTTATTACATAATACCTGTATTATAGCAAGGTAGTCTTTCAAAGTTGCGGAGTAAGAGAGTGTACGTAAATGTTTTTGGAAGGAGAAAGCTATCTGAGGCGGATTTAGGGGGGGACCAGCCCAGCCCTCCTTTTGGGAGGTAAAAACAAGAAAAAAAAAAAAGAAAAAAGAAAAAGAAATAAATGATAGCCCACAACGCCTCAAACATTATTTTCGGGCGTCTAGAATACAAAAATTTTGCGGGGGCATGCCCCCATACCCCTAGGACATTGTTGTCTCGATCGGCCCAAATTTCGGCCGCCCCCTTTTGGACATCTCTGGATCTGCCCCTGGCTATAATGGACAAATGTAGGTAGTCTTGGCCAAAGACATAAGAGAAATTCACTGTAAGGGTTCAAACCCTTGACCTCAAGATTCAGAGTCCAACCGCTGCTCCAGCCACTTTTACGCTACCCAAGTTTAATTCTTACGCCCTGTCCGTACTATTAGACAAATGCACGATTTTAATAATTAACATTGATAATATCGATTTTATAATAGGTAAAGATATGCATTACAATAGTATTTAAAACATTCTTGTTACAGTATTCTGTTTTTTTTTTGCAGCTTAGTAGCCTCCAGTCTGAAGTGGATGATATAAAAACTGTGAGTCACATTTTATTATATTTTTCTATATATTTTCATATATTTTGTCATTTTCATTATATAAGTGAAAAGAGTATGCAAGATTTCGGCCTTGGGTGTAGGGTGTGGGATAGGGTGCGGAAAATGAGAATGCTAATCTAAATTCCATAATGCAGAACTAATTTCCAGAATGCAGAACTTTTGACATATTGCCATGTTTTTCAGAAATCTATGCTAGTATGATTTGCAATCACTTTCCTTCCAATTTATCAAGTACAGATATGCTGTTGTATTGCTACAGTCGATCTCGGCTAAGTTGAATACAAAGTAGCTGTGATAAATCATCAATTTTTATTTACTCGGCAAAAGAACACTAGGCACTTGTTATCTAAACAAATAGCTTTATTTTATATCATTAAAAACATTATTGATCAAATAATTAAATAAATACTAATAATGGCCACCAAATTTTAATATTTACCATAACACCCTTATATTCCATATAGAACAGTGACTTTTTTAGCCTATGATTTGAGAAAATGAAGGCGTACAGTGGATCCCTTAAAAGTCAATTTCAGTCATTAGCGGTTGCAAAATCCAAGATGGCCACCAAAATGGCCGCCAAATTGTCATATTGACCATAACTCTCTTAATATTCTATATAAAACAGTGGTGCTTTTTATTCCATGATTTGAAATGTTAGGGGCATACAGAGCGCCATCAAAAGTCAATTTCAGCCGTTGCCGGTTGCAGAGATCAAAGATGGCTACCAAAATATCTGTCAAATTTTAATATTGACCATTCACTCCCATTCCATAGAACAGTGGCTTTTTTTAGTCTGCGATTTAAGATGTTAATGTTAGAAGCATACAGTTTCATTACTAAAAGTGAAATTCAGAAACTTGTAAGATGGTCGCCAAAATGGCTGCAAAATAATAATATCCCACATTGGACAACAGTAATGGTTTGTTGGGTATGTCATAAGAAATTAATTTGTTGAACTACCCTGTTTGATATTGGTAGCCAAGTGCTATTTTCCACAACAAAACATTGAAACTGTTGGAGTATCAACCAATACCAAGTATCATTAAATGAGAAAAACTGAAGAGCAGCTGGACAGAAATCAGATGAATTATATATAATACCCCTTTTACGCTGCCAAAGGCAGAGTCGACCCGCGTTACTTCCAGTAGGTGCATTTCCCATTTACATCAAACGAAAAAGTCCGGGTTGATCCCGAGTTGCTCCCATTTTAAGTCTGTTTTCCACTAGGCGAATCTATTCTCGCGAAACAAATCTCCGGTACGCTTTCTGAGCCCTGATTGGTTGCGCAAAAACCTGATAGAAATGTGAATGCGCATGCTTATGAACCGACGCTTTCGATTCAAATTACAATCAAAGGAGTGGGGGGGGGGGTGACACCATTCCATCAGAAGGCTTTGGCTTCTCCTAGTCGGATACGGGATCCCTTCAAAGTGTATATCACTTCTGCATCAATTCCATGATGGCATGTTTGCCCAGGTCTGCATAGGCGGCGAGACATCGGAAGCATTCTGGGTTGCGCATAGTGTGAAACAAAGGTTGCCCATGGGCACACACACTTTTTACAGTTTTCTTGTCGGCAGTTTTAGAGCTCATCAACCAACATCTGGCGGAAGGGGTCTACATCCGCACCAGGGTGGGCAAAGTCTTCAACTTGGCTCGACTAAAGTCCACTCTGTTCTTGTTCGCGAGCTGTTGTACGCTGATGACAACGCCTTTGTTGCACATAACCACAATGACTTGCAGAAGATTTTTATTATATTCAGTCATGTTGCCAGTGACCTAGGGCTCTCTATAAATGCTTCAAAGTCTCAGGTTGTTTTCACTCCTTCCACATCACTCAAGGACATACTTTCAGTTCTGATCAACAACACCCCACTGTCTAGGGAGTTCTATAGTGGCCGACGGCAGCATCGACTCTGTGAGATCAATGCCCGAGTTAAGGCGGCTTATACAGCTTTTTCGTGTCTACGCCATCGCCTCTGGTCACAAAGAAACATCCATTGCTTGATGAAATTTGAAAGACTCAAAATTTGAAAGAATTTTCTTTTTTTCTCAATTTTTAAAAAATTTTGAAATATTTAGGGGGACCTGGGCCGGCTAGGCCCCCATTGAATCCGCCACTGTAAATGACATTTTTTATCATTCTTAACAGTGTTTCAACCTATGTTTTGATGTTGAACACATTGCATTAATGTCCATAATTTTGCATGATGCAGGGATGTAGTTATGGTGGACGGAGGTGGGCGGGGCCACCCAGCCTTGGAGTTTTCCACCCAATCTAAAGCTAATTTCAGGGTCCTCAACCCACCCTTATTAACCCACTTTTCCATCCTTAAAATTCAATCTTATTATTTTGAGTTTACTCAATGTTATCACCCACCCATCCTTAAAATGTTAATCACCCATTCTTAGTTTTCTACAGCTACAATTAACCTTAACAATGCGATAAAATATATGGAGAGAATTTTAAGACAATTTATCGGTGAAATTATACTTTATGCAGAAACACGGACTTGGAGACTTACCAATGATATAAACTGTAAACGTACAGCTACCTGTCCTACCAGCAGCATCAGTAGCATCACAAGTGACGTCATTTGAACCAAGAACAAATAAGGAACCAGAAGATGGAGTACAAGTAGCTGACAGACCAGTATCAACATTGTCAGTGACTGTTGGGTCATTCCAGGTCACTGAAACTTGGCTCGAGGATGTACTCATGGAAATATCATCAGGACATTTTACATTGGGACTCTCATTGTCTAGAACATAAAAAAAAAAATTCAAAATTTATGTTAATGTTTCTTTGATACAGTATGTTAAAATATATATAAAAATTAAATTAATTCTTGTCAATGTTACAAACCCTGTAAATCATTATTTAATTGAACTGAACTGAATTGAATTTATAATTTACATTAATATTTATTTATTAGGAAAAACTACAGCAGCATGAATAGATTAAATATTATGAATAAAATTGATATGGTATGAACAATAGGCCTACCATTAAAAAAAAAAAATCCCATAATGTGAAGGGTTAAAATTAACAATGAATATTTTACACGAATAACCACACTCAGTGGATCTATAATATAAATTTGAAAGGCAGGTACACACTGCATCTGACAGTTGTCGGCAAACACAATTCCACAGAGAACAAAATAGAATGAAATGTGCGCAAAGTTTTTAATGATGATCTACTCAGACTGCCACCAACTATCAGCTGATGTATGAAACGCTCACAGAGATTGGACATGGATTCACCTGCCAACAGCCATACAACTTGTATGGTGCAGCGTGTGCCCAGCTTAATGAACAAGACAAAAAAGACAACAATTATGTGTCCCTTTTTACTCCAGGGTTGAAAATATGATTATTTAATAATCGTTTCAAAAATTGTTCCTATTGCCCTAATGGGGTGGGGAAGGGGGGTATGGCCATAGTGTTAAAAGATATACTTCATTTCACGAAAAAGTGTCCTTTGAATAGGGGTTCTACTGAATCTAAATATTACAAATGGTTTCATAAATGAGCAAAACTTACCACGGACAAAAACAGTAATTGTGCAGGAACCAACATTGCCATTACTGTCAGTTGCGGTACACATAGCAGTATTGGTACCAACAGGAAATGATGAACCAGAAGGTGGAGTACAAGTAGCTGTCAAGCCCATGTCAATATCATCAGTTACTATTGGCTCACTCCAAGTTACAGTTCCTATTGATTGGCCTGGAGATGTAGGTACATTAACACTACCAATACAGGTCAGAACTGGTTCTTCAGGTACAGGTACTGTTAGTGAAAAAAAAAAAGCATTTATAGTATAGAGATAAAAAGACATTTCGGAATCACTACCATATTTTTGTTATTATACTCACAGTTATAGCATTATATGGAATCTGGGAAATATACAGTATGCTAAATCAAATACAGACCAGCACACCAGCACCTGTTTAAATAGTGACCATCTTGAGACAAAAGGTATGAAAATGTGTCTCAATTCATCCCCAATTTAATATTTTATTTTGGTAAAAACTTTAGACATGGTGGAAACCATTTTTATCATAGAAACAATCCTAGACTAGCTGATAACAGTTGACATACAAAAATAAACTAAAATTTAAATTAAAACAAATGCCATTTACTTTTAAAGTAACCTGTAGCTTTGGACAAAATACTGTCTAATAGGAATTTCATCAGGTTTATGCATTTTTCGGTAACCTAGCGATAAAAAATTTTTCAACATTTTTAGTCATTAAGGCAAGACTTTTTTTATTCCTTGTTTCGCATACTTATTTTTTTAAAGATCATCGGAGGAGGGTGGAATAAAAATAAAAATTTGTTTTCTTATTTAGCAAATGGTTTTTCCAAAAACATCCGAATGGAGGACGAAACTAAAAACACAATTTCATTGGTGAATGTAAAATAGGATGTTATATGCTTCAAATTTATATAATTAGGAAGAAATATACATATCTTATCTTGGAAGATTTCAAGGTAGCAGAGGCTGTAATAAAAATAAAGAAAAACTTTTATTTTTTTCTGAAGTTTCCACTTTTTCGTGGCAGTGGGTGCGTTAATTGGCCCAAAATAAAATTTAGTTTCATTCGAAATCATCAATATTTGCAGTCAGCGGGTTCGCTAAATAAGGTATAAAAAAAGTTTAGCCTATGGGTCATTCTCATTATTGGGTCAACATCAGGCTGCAGTATGTAGCTATGTCATCAGGTCATCCATGTCACATTGGGATTGAAATCCGCTTGAATAATTGTGACCAATCCAATGGGTCAGTTGTCTGAATAAGTTCAGTGAAGCTGGACTGAACACCACTACAGTAGTAAGTTCCAGTATTCAATTTATTCATTACTTTAACATTATCAAATATTTTCTGAATGAATACATTTCCAATGGAGGGCAGTAGACAAAGGTGCCTGCTGTGAGCCTATTTGTCAACAACTTACCCTAGAAATACACAATCCCAAAAACATAAGAAAAAATATTAAAAACCTGGAGAGTCATCTACAGCTAATGAATATGGTAATATAAATGAAAAGATATTAAGAGACATTTAGACATTAATTATAAATACAAATGTCCTAAAAAAAATTCTATAAAACCTTGGATAGTCTAGAGCAAATAAACATGGAGATGGAAAACTTTACAATAATACAAAATGTTTCAAATCATCAATAAACAACAGACAAATTAATATAATTTACCTTCAACATTGACAGCAAACATGCAACTGCCTACATTATTAGCAGCATCAGCAGCAGAACAAGTAACAGAATATGAACCAACAATAAATGAGGAACCAGAAGGTGGATTACAAGTAGCTGATGACAGACCAGTATTAACATTGTCACTGACTGCTGGGTCAATCCAGGTCACTGTAGCTTGATTTGAAGCTTCGGCACTGAAGCAGTTGTGCCTGGGCTTTGAATAACCTGCCTTTTTAACTTTCTTAGGTGGCGAACCACTTTTATACCCTATTCTTTTACAACCCAAGGCATAATATTGTCATACTATAATGCTATTGTCATGTTATGTGTTGATTGCAGGCTCATGATTACAAGCTCAATAAAATCATAATGCGACTGTTTACTAACATATTGCCATGTTTTTCAGAAATCTATGCTAGTATGATTTGCAATCATTTTCCTTCCAATTTATCAAGTACAGATATGCTGTTGTATTGCTACAGTCGATCTCGGCTAAGTTGAATACAAAGTAGTTGTGATAAATCATCAATTTTTATTTACTCGGCAAAAGAACACTAGGCATTTGTTATCTAAACAAATAGCTTTATTTTATATCATTAAAAACATTTTTGATCAAATAAATAAATAAATACTAATAATGGCCACCAAATTTTAATATTTACCATAACACCCTTTTATTCCATATAGAACAGTGACTTTTTTAGCCTATGATTTGAGAAAATGAAGGCATACAGTGGAACCAATAGAAGTCAATTTCAGTCATTAGCGGTTGCAAAAATCCAAGATGGCCACCAAAATGGCCGCCAAATTGTCATATTGACCATAACTCTCTTAATATTCTATATAAAACAGTGGTGTTTTTTATTCCATGATTTGAAATGTTAGGGGCATACAGAGCGCTATCAAAAGTCAATTTCAGCCGTTGCCGGTTGCAGAGATCGAAAATGGCTGCCAAAATATCTGCCAAATTTTAATATTGACCATTCACTCCCATTCCATAGAACAGTGGCTTTTTTTAGTCTGCGATTTGAGATGTTAAAGTCAGCCTCCGGAGGAAAAAAATTTTTGATATGTTGTAGAACTGATTTTTCTAAAGACAGAAAAAAGTTGTTTGACAAAAAACTGGGGAACGGTGAATGAGATACAGATTTTTAATATTTAAAAACTGGGGGAAAAGGGGCGTAACTGCCCATTTTTACACCTTATTCCCCCAGTTTTTAAATATTAAAAAATCTGTATCTCATTCACTGTTCCCCAGTTTTTCATCAAACAACTTTTTTCTGTCTTAGTAAAATCAGTTCTACAATATATCAAAACATTTTTTCCCTCCGGAGCCTGACTTTAATGTTAGAAGCATACAGTTTCATTACTAAAAGTGAAATTCAGAAACTTGCAAGATGGTTGCCAAAATGGCCGCAAAATAATAATATCCCACATTGGACAACAGTAATGGTTTGTTGGGTATGTCATAATAAATTAATTTGTTGAACTACCCTGTTTGATATTGGTAGCCAAGTGCTATTTTCCACAACACAACATTGAAACTGTTGGAGTATCCACCAATACCAAGTATCATTAAATGAGAAAAACTGAAGAGCAGCTGGACAGAAATCAGATGAATTATATATAATACCCCTTTTACGCTGACAAAGGCAGAGTCGACCCGGGTTACTTCCAGTAGGTGCATTTCCCATTTACATCAAACGAAAAAGTCCGGGTTGATCCCGAGTTTTTTAAGTCTGTTTTTCACTAGGCGAATTTATTCTCGCGAAACAAATCTTTGGTACGCTTTCTGAGCCCTGATTGGTTGCGCAAAAACCTGATAGAAATGTGAATGCGCATGCTTATGAACAGAAGCTTTCGATTCAAATTAAAATCAAAGGAGTGGGGGGGGGGGTGACACCATTCCACGAGAAGGCTTTGGCTTCTCCTAATCGGATACGGGATCCCTTCAAAGTGTATATCACTTCTGCATCAATTCCATGATGGCATGTTTGCCCAGGTCTGCATAGGCAGCGAGACATCGGAAGAATTCTGGGTTGCGCATAGTGTGAAACAAAGGTTGCCCATGGGCACACACACTTTTTACAGTTTTCTTGTCGGCAGTTTTAGAGCTCATCAACCAACATCTGGCGGAAGGGGTCTACATCCGCACCAGGGTGGGAAAAGTCTTCAACTTGGCTCGACTAACGTCCACTCTGTTCTTGTTCGCGAGCTGTTGTATGTTGATGACACCGCCTTTGTTGCACATAACCACAATGACTTGCAGAAGATTTTTATTATATTCAGTCATGTTGCCAGTGACCTAGGGCTCTCTATAAATGCTTCAAAGTTTTCACTCCTTCCACATCACTCAAGGACATACTTTCAGTTCTGATCAACAACACCCCACTGTATAGGGAGTTCTATAGTGGCCGACGGCAGCATCGACTCTGTGAGATCAATGCCCGAGTTAAGGCGGCTTATACAGCTTTTTCGTGTCTACGCCATCGCCTCTGGTCACAAAGAAACATCCATTGCTTGATGAAATGCAAGAAAATTTATGACTATGGCACCTCTCGATGGCCGGAAATGGCCCTCTTAGACTCAAAATTTGAAAGAATTTTCTTTTTTTCTCAATTTAAAAAAAATTTTGAAATATTTAGGGGGACCTGGGCTGGCTAGCCCCCCCATTGAATCCGCCACTGTAAATGACATTTTTTATCATTCTTAACAGTGTTTCAACCTATGTTTTGATGTTGAACGCATTGCGTTAATGTCCATAATTTTACATGATGCAGGGATGTAGTTATGGTGGACGGAGGCCACCCAGCCTTGGAGTTTTCCACCCAATCTAAAGCTAATTTCAGGGTCCTCAACCCACCCTTATTAACCCACTTTTCCATCCTTAAAATCCAATCTTATTATGTTGAGTTTACTCAATGTTATCACCCACCCATCCTTAAAATGTTTATCACCCATTCTTAGTTTTCTACAGCTACAATTAACCCTAATGATGCGATAAAATATATGGAGAGAATTTTAAGACAATTTATCGGAGAAATTATACTTTATGCAGAAACACGGCCTTGGAGACTTACCAATGATATAAACTGTAAACATACAGCTACCTGTCCTACCAGCAGCATCAGTAGCATCACAAGTGACATCATTTGAACCAAGAACAAATAATGAACCAGAAGATGGAGTACAAGTAGCTGACAGATCAGTATCAACATTGTCGGTGACTGTTGGGTCATTCCAGGTCACTGTAACTTGGCTTGAGGATGTACTCATGGAAATATCATCAGGACATTTTACAATGGGACTCTCAATGTCTAGAACATAAAAAAAAAAAAAAAATTCAAAATTTATGTTAATGTTTCTTTGATATGTTAAAATATATATATAAATTAAATTAATTCTTGTCAATGTTACAAACCCTGTAAATCATTATTTAATTGAACTGAATTGAATTGAATTTATAATTTACATTAATATTTATTTATCAGGAAAAACTACAGCAGCATGAATAGATTAAATACCAGAGCCTTGGAGGCGTCAACGTTCCTATGCATGATACAGGACTTAAAAAGTATATAGGTCCTATATATATATATACGTGTATATATATATACACGTACATATACATACACATATATATATATACGTATACACCTATATATATATACGTATACATGTATATATATGTATATACGCATGCGCACATATATACGCGTGTGTATATATATACACACGCGTATGTATGTCTGTCTCTTATACACATCTAGATGTGTATAAGAGACAGGAATTATATATAATGCCTATGATTGAGTGAAAGTCCATTGTAAATCAAAGAAACAGGAAAAATCATGAGTTCACTTTCATGTTGGCGGAAGGAAATTAGATAATTTGTAGAACAATGCAAACAATATATGACTTTATATCACTACAGAATTATAATACTACTGTACATCGAGGAATGTTTCTGTTTACCTGGTGAATGAAAGTGTTGCAGTTGAGTTTTGTAGTCAAGTGACTGGAGATTTCTTTCTAATTATATTAACTGGTTTGAGAATACGTTGCGGGATGACATTTAATGCGTTATTATTACTATTAATTTCTTGCAGAGAAGAATGATTGGTTTATCATTCCAAATTTAGAAGTACACATAACGTCAAAAAAAATGCTGTCGTTTAGGTGGTTGACTTGCAAGAATTAGGTTATATATACTATGCCTTAATGAGAATTCCTCTAACTTATTGACAGTTCTGATGCTGTCTCTTATACACATCTAGATGTGTATAAGAGACAGATATTGGGGAGTAATGGGTTGAGGATACTGTCAATGAAACCGGATAAGCGTTCCGTGAGAGTGCCTATGTTAGGAACAATAGGACGACCGGGAGGAAAAATATGCATGTTTTTGGCAATCTTAAAAACGTTTTCATTGTGAAGTGAATATTGCGTATCCTGTGTTTGCTGTGTATGCCTAGATGCTGTCTCTTATACACATCTAGATGTGTATAAGAGACAGTCGTCTATCTGCCAATGACCTAAATCCGC